TCCTTAGCGTCTTCTGGTACTGTGCCGTCTTCTAGATATTTGACGATTGGGTGTCTCCAGTCTTCATCAGACGTGAGCTGAGTTGTGTTAATTGCTACCTCTGGGCGGCATTCCTCCTCCTCTTTCTGGACAGACACGAGGCGCGTGGACTCGAAATCGGTAGCAGTCGCTAGCTAGGATAACGCGTCGGCGTGCATGTTTTCTTCTCTTGGTATTTGCATGTACGTTACTGCCTCGAAGGTGGCTGCCCGCAGCTTGACGCGATCCATGTAATGCGCCAGTGTGTCTTCTTTTGCGTCAAATGTCCCGTTCAGTTGATTGACCGCCAGAGATGAGTCGGAGAGTACCCGTATCGTTCTAGCGCCCAAGTCGTGGGCGGCAGTCATTCCCGCTAGGATGGCCTCGTATTCAGCCGCGTTATTTGTCTTCAACGATCTGAATCTGATTGCTATTTCATGGACGACGCCGGTGGATGTGCGCACAACCACTCCCGCACCAGCGCCATGTTTGCTCGCCGCTCCATCAACGTAAACTTCCCATACGCCCTCTGGCGTTGTTTCGAGAGTGACCCCTCGGCGATGAAATACGCTAGGATTTGAGCCTTTATTGCTGGCCTTGGCGCATATTGAATATCGTACTCTGAAAGTTCGGCCGCCCATTTGACCATGCGTCCGGACACTTCCATTGAAGTCAGGATCTTTTTTAACGGGAGGTTGGTCAGGACTGTAACTTGGTGCTCTTGGAAGTATGGGCACAATTTCTGTGACGCGCTAACCAACGCCAGGGCGGCCTTCTCTATTGAGGAGTATCTTGTCTCCGTGCTAATAAGGGTACGCGAAGTATAGTAAACAGGTTGCTCGGTTTTGCCATCCCTTCTGGATATCAGTACCGCGCTCATAGCCCTTGTTGACACAGCAAGATACAGGAAAAGTTTTTCATTAAGCTTGGGAGCGGTTAATATAGGAGGGGATACAAGATAGGCCTTCAACTCTTGGAATGCCGCTTCACACTCCTCAGACCATGCGAACCGCGTGCCATTTTTGAGCGTTTTGAAGAAGGGCGCGCACTTGTCGGCAGACCTTGGTATGAACCTCCCTAACGCCGCTATCTTACCATTTAGGGATTGGATTTCCAATGCGTTCCTGGGTGCCCGGAGTTGTTGGACCGCGGTGATTTGCTTTGGGTCAACTTCTATGCCGCGCTTGGTTATCATGAACCCAAGAAACTTCCCTGCCTCTGCTCCAAAAACACACTTCAGTGGGTTCAAGTGTAGGCTATGTTTGCGGAGCGCCTCGAATGTTTCGCGCAGGTCCTCCAAATGTGAGTTACCAGCCTTGGTTTTAACAATGAGTTCGTCCACGTATGGCTCGATGTTCCGCCCCCTCTGTTGTGAAAACACTGAATCGGTCATTCTTTGGTATGTTGCACCCGCGTTTTTCAGTCCAAACTGCATTCTGACGAAACAGAAGTTTCCGAAGGGAGTCATGAACGCCGTTTTTTCCTCATCTTCGCGCGACATTGGGATTTGGTGGTATCCCGAGAACATGTCAAGGAAGGACAGTGTCTCGTGGTCGGCAGTCGCGTCGATCAGTTGGTCGATGCGCGGCAAGGGGTAAGGGTCTCCCGGGCACACTTTGTTGATTGTTGTGTAGTCGACGCACATCCGCCAAGCCCCTGAAGACTTTTTTACCAGGACCACATTTGCCAACCACTTCGGATACTTGACCGGGCGGATCAACCCTGATGCCAACAATCGCGCCACCTCTTCTTCAATGGCTTTCAGTTTGTCGCCAGTGAAGCTACGTCGCGCTTGCTGTCTCGGAGGTGCGCTAGGCGGGACTGCGAGGCAATGTTGTGCTACATGCCTTGGTACCCCCGGCATGTCTTCTGTGCACCAGGTGAATAGCTCCTTATATTCCTTCAGTAGCGCTATCAGTGGCTCAATCGCATCGTCGCGGACGTGAGTCGAGATGCGTATTTTTCTATTTGGCTCAGTTGGATCGAGCGCGACCTCGAAGTCAGAATCCATTGATTCCGAGCGAGGTTCTTCTAGCCTTGTGTCGACAATGTTGGTCTGTCTGGCCTCTCCTTCGAACTTTGGGACTCCCCATGGCGTTCCGCGCGCCTCTCCGGTTCCCATCTTGGTGGGGAACTTAAGCTTCTGGTGGCGTGTGGATGCAAGGGCCATGAATTTTGCTAGGAAGGGTCGTCCCAAGATGCCGTTGTGGGACGATTTGCAGTCAACTATTGTGAACTCGACTTGCTTTGAGACGCGCGGCTCTTGGTCTCCGATAACAACAGGAAGAGTTACCACACCAATGACTGGAACTCGCATTCCGGAGAAGCCGACCAAGTTTCCTTGGGCGCGCTTGATTAAGCGCGGATCAATGTCCATTTGGTCGATGGTGCTCTGGAAGAGGATGTCAGCCGCGGCGCCTCCATCTATCAGTAGGCAGTGTATTTTGCAGGCCCCCTGTTTGTAGCCCCCGCGGTGTATTTTGTATCCCCCGCGGTGTATTTTGCAATTCGGTGTCGTCGAAGCTTAACTGGCCCCCTGTTTGTACATCCACCGTTGCGAATTCAATCGCGCGTTCGCGCTTGGTTTTCTTCTTCGGACGATCTCCTTCCACTGTCACCACCCCTATTTCTTTTCGCACTACGTACGCGCCAGTGGCTTCGTTGTAGTCGGATTGTGGGGGTGGTGGCGGGTTTTGGGGCCCCCCTACTTGTTCCTCTTTTTCGTGTGTGAACTCGGACAGCAATCCTCTTCGTATGAGGCCTTCTATTTCGTAGCGCAGTTTTCGGCAATCTTCTGTCCAGTGCCCCGTTGCTCTGTGGAAGTCACACTGCTTTTTTGGATCAATCATGTGGGGTAAGGACCTCAACGGCGCGGGCCAATTGAGCTTGTAGCCCTTCTCGCGGAGAACGTGGAACACGTTCTTCACGGAGTCATTAAGTGGTGTGAAGGCGTGGGATGTGCGCCTGTCCGGAGATCGTCCTCGCGGAGCTTGCTCTTGTGGGGGAGGGGGGTGGCGCTTTGGGCCGATATGTAGTTGCGCCAATTGGTCGCGCGGGATTGGTAGCTGTCGACGCCCCTGCTCTTCCCGCGGCAACTTTGCTGGTTCGAAACGCCTGACGGATCCCGCTCCGAGGGTTTCTTCCAGCGTGATTTCCTTCTCGATCTTCATCTCCAATTCTGTCGACAGTGTCACGGGCCTTTTTGCTAGCGCCCGCTTGAGCTCCATGTTGTTGGTGGCTTTCATAAGGTGATGGGCGGCGGTCTCGGGGGTAAGGTCGCGCACGGCCATTGCCACCCTGGAACATCTGGCGTAAAATGCCCGCAGGCTTTCTCCGTCCTTTTGCCTGATGTCTATAAGCGCTTTGAGGTGGAGAGGCCTTCTTTTTTGGGACGCGAATTTCGTCGTGAATAGGAGTATGAACTCCTCAAATGAGCGGATGATCCCGTTCGGGAGCCTGTTGTACCAATCAAGGCATATTCCTGAGAATGTTGATGGGAAGGTTCTGCACAGTGCCGCGTTGGAGTTGGTTTGGAGTTGCATCCGCAGGCAGAAGGTGCTCACATGATCTTCGGGGTCAATCGTGCCGTTGTATGTTGGTAGGGCGGGTGGCGTTCTACTTAGGTGCTCCGCCATGATTTCCGCGCTCAATGGTTGGTGGAGGGCCTTTCTGGGTGGATTGGGTCGGTATTGTGGAGACAAGTGTTGCTCCAGGAAGCTGAGATCAGCCCTTCCTGGCGGCTCGACTCCCCGCGCTTCGCACGCGAGGAATTCTGTTGGCGCTGGTTGGGGTGGTGGGGCGGTCCCCGACGCTTCTCCGGGGGCTTGTTGAGGCGCGACTGCTGTCGCGTCCACTGTCGTCGCGGCGTCTTTACTCATCATCAGGGCGATCATTTGGCTCATCTTGGCTTGCATGTCTGCTATGATCTCGTTTTGTTTGGTCATCTGTTGGCGCATCTCTTTGGCCGTCAGTTCAGGCTCTTCCTCTTCGATTAAGACCGCACTGAGGTCGCTCGCATCTGCGAATGACCTTGAGTTCGTCATCGCCTTGATCGGGGTTGCTTCGTTGGGGATGTTGTTTGGCTCTGACATTTGTGATTTTTCCATCCTATCGTTTCTCTGCTCTAGCCCCACGGTGGGCGCCAATTGTTTGAGTCCAACTGAGGGTAGGAGGTAGACTCGTGAGAAAGGAGGGTGAGAAGAGAAAACGATAGAAAGGTTTTCGACAAAGGAGCTTTTAGAGAGAGAAAGTTCTTTGTCTTAGAGTGAGATAGTGAAAAATGCGATCCCCTCACCCACCGTAGTAAATGCCATATATATAGGCTACAAGGTGGTGGTTGAGTTTACAGAGGTGACATGACAACTGACATGTCAGACTTTGGGTCATAGGCCACACCTCTAGGCCCTAGGCCATACTTCTACCTAGGACTATGATTGGGCCATGACATGACTGCTTCCTGACTTATGCGACGCTTCTGATTTGCCTCGGCTTAGTCAACGCATAACCGGGACGTTCTCGCGTTTTGGGCGCGCTTGGGGTCGTCAGAGTTTTGGGCCCTTTCTTCGCGCGATTAGACCCGAGTCCTATGCCCAACACATTACCAGACTGTTAATCAAGTGAAGGCATCGTGGGTGGCAAGTGGCAACTTTTACCTTCCCAAGTACTCTACCCACATATCCTGATATCGTTGTAATGGCTGAAGTAATGACACCAAGCAAGATCATCATCCGAACTGAACTACAGCCAGTAAAGTAGAGAGACGCCACATTTTTTGACATGGTAAAGAGTAGCGACACCTCCAAATCCCACACCAGCCACAAATTGAAATGAAACAGTGAGCACATCATATTTATCGAACCAAGCTTCTTCTTCATCATCCTTGAAGCTGCAAAATGTCTTGTCAGACCACAGAAATACACGATCTGATTTTGCCACCAAGCATGTGGTACTCCTAGGGGAAATATATCCAACGCCAGATACCTTCAGTTTTGATGAAGCATGCTTAAACTATAAGCATGGAACCCCGGGGTTGGTCCAATGAATACACGATACCAAATGCAATTCACTTCAGTTCCGCAGGGTCCACAGGTAGCTCCAAGCTCATATAATTCTCTTCCTTTATGCTCAGTTGATGAAACATTGTGGAACCTCACTTCCTGAATAGAAAAACCCACATGTAACAGCACAAATAATCACAATGACAACCTAAAAAAATCTCTTTTTTTTTTGGCATTGTTCACTACTAAGTACAAACCATACGAAGAACATAAAAGCTTATATGTGCATATTTACCTGAGGATGCCGAGACAAAGCCTGATCAGGGAAATTCAACATGATTTCATCAAGCGAACTCTTGTCCATTTGCAGACAATCATCAAGCCTCAGGAGCTTAAAACTTAGGTTCATAATATTGTTCGATAGGACTTGTAATGAATCACAGTTATTTGCCTTCAAAAATCTAAATATTTGGTGGGAGTTCTGGCAAGGACTGAATACTCTCACAGCCAATCAACAACAATTCAGCTAGCTTGGCAAGTTTGTGGATGGTGTTTGGGATGGACTCGAGGCTTTCACAGTAGGATAGATCTAGATAAGAGAGCTGGTTCAATTCCTCGATAGAGGAAGGCAGTGACTTGATATCAGGAGGACATCTGATGACATCGATAGACTGGACAGTTTCAGGTAGCTCAACTAGACTTTCACATCTCCGGCATATAAGAAGCTCGAGTTTCGAAGAGCTCGACAGGTTTGGGATAGCAGCAAAAATTTCACAGGAGATATTAAGCACAATCAGGTACTGAAGCTTAGGCTGCCAATGAAAAAACAGCAAAAGCAGTATGAGGTCAAACAAATCCCAGTAATATACGGAAATATGAGATCTAATCAATTTAGGAACCATAACAAAACATGGCAAGTGCTTGTTTACCCTCCCTGCTCTGGCTCGTAAAATTTGAGGCATCTCAGAAAGTCCATCCCTTCAAAGGCATTGGCTTTCAAAGTAACTTCTTCAACTCTGGAAAGATTCAAACTTATCCGTTGAGTTGCTTTGTGTCCCTAAAATAACACATTGATGCTCGAAAGCGTCGGGCACTGTAATTCATGCAAAAATTAATCTGTTGCCTCTTTTCTTCAAGTCATGTCAAATTTTCAGTAGCTCAATATGATAATGTCCGAAAGAGAATGATTTAATTATGATGTGCATATACGCAGCAGATGAGGAATGTCCAAAACGAGTTACAAAAGCAGCTGACGTTACAACAAACAACACCAAATGTTCCTCATAAGACCACCAAACTAAGAGCTAACAGTTAGTCCAGTAGAGAGACGCCAATACTTTTCATTTTGATGCTCTTTACTTTCTCAGCATATTCTTCCCCGCTCGCTTGAAGGGAAAATCTGAAGGAAACAGTGAGGCCAGCATATCTCTCATACCAAGGTTCTGCTTCATCTCGTGTTCCTTCCTCAGTCTCACCTAACAGGTTCTTGTCATACCATATATATACGTTATCTGATTCGGAGGCCCCACCGAAACCAAAACTCGGAGAACGCCAAGATGCAGCAGCGGCAGTGATGCCAATGTTGCAATAGCAAGTGATAGATATCCCGACATACCCAATATCTGAAGAACACACAATGCCAAATGCAATCCCCTTGATTAGCCGCTTAGTAGTGCAGTTTGGAAGAGTCAATTGCACCACCATACATGAATCACATGCATAATTCTGGCTTTTGTAAGCAAACCATCTCGGAATCTCACTCCCGGAATGTTGAAGAACACCCTAAAACCAACAGGACGCTCTTATAAAATGGATCTTCAAGAATTGCCGCCACTACTAATCATAAATATAACATAATCATAGGTTTAAATACCTGAGGATGGAGATTTGAAGTTGCATGATTCTGGAAATTAAGCACTACTTCTTGAGGCAGATACATATCCAATTGCGGGCAATCTTCAAAGTAGAGTTGTTTCCATCTCAGCTTGCCTATGTTGCATGGCAAGGCTTGTAGCAAAGTGCAACCACTTACTTCCAACGTTAGAAGATTGGGTGGGAGTTCTGGCAAGTATTTAATACTTGAACAACCCTTCAAGGACAAGTGGGATAACTTGACAAGCTTATGGATGTTGCTCGGGATGAACTCCAAGCTTTTGTTGGAACGCAAGTCTAAATCTAAGAGCTGGTCAAGTTCCACAATAGGTGAAGGCAGGGACTCAATATCCGTGTCAAGGAAACAGAGGTACTGCAAGGATTTCAAATTGTTGATGCCAGTTGGAAAGCTCTTCAGGTTCCGACATCCTTCTATATATAGCTCAGATAAGCCAGCCACAGACTGTGAGATTTCCGGCAAACTTTCAATCAATGGGCAATCTTGAAGAAGGAGATATTGAGAGACCATGTTCCAGATATTCCTTGACAAGCACTTGAGTTGGGGGTTGCCAACCAAGTTCAATCGAGCAAATCTTGGCAAAGAACCAAGCTGGTGATTACCATCACCATCATAACAATCCATCTCTGTTATTGGGGTATGGCACACCTGCAACAATTCCAAGCTTGATGAAATAGCAGGGAAGCGGGTGATGTATTTTCATAATAGAGTTAGGACACCACCCTGCTTGATGTTGTAAATTGCACGAGGCAAGGTTATGATAGGTGTCTTCATTAAACTCAAATGCTCCAACTCTCGTGAACTAATCTCGGGACAACGAGTGACCTTGGGGCAGTTGGACAACCGAACCTTCTTGAGGAACTTCGAGTTGAGTTTGGGTGGAAGGCTCCTCAGATTTGTACAACCATTGAGGTACAGCTTTATCAGCTTGTCCAGATCTTGAACGTGAGATGGTAGCTCAATCAGCCTTTTGCACCCTTCGAGAATGAGAAATTCCAACTTTGAAGACCCCGACAAGTTTGGTATTGCAACTAAATTTATGCAATGGGAGAGGTCAAGCCAGACTAAATTCACAAGAGTGTGGCTGCAAAACAACAAGAAGACTAAGATTTAATATCTCTTTTGACTTTTGAATTTATGAAAAATAGATAATTGCAGTACCGAAACAAACCCACTCCAACTATAAAATAAAGATAGATAATTGCAAAACAATAAGACTAGAAATATAATAATCTCTCCAAGCCATTGAATACAATGGAGAGAATGCACGGAACCAAAAAATAGAACTCAACCCCAAAAAATGCATTTCACATACCTCAACTTCCCAACATCTTTCCAGTATTGGGCTACCCCGTAGAGAAAGTATGACAAGGTTTTCTGGAGAAAATCTTGATGGTAGAGAGTTTGAAGGAAACTCATGCCACTCCAACCATCTTAGACTATCGGGAAGGGTAATAAGACCACCGTAAGGGACACGGATTTTAGAAACTCCACACTCATTTTCTGAATGGAAAAACCAGAGAAATCTAAGAGAGGTCATCCCTTCAAAGATATCGGCTTCCAAATACATTTCACTTGCTTTAGAATCGTCCAAATATATGCCTTCAGTTGCACTACCTCCCTTAAGGGACAATCTTTTTGTAAGTAATTTCTGGACATCACCAGGATTATTCAACCGAGTACGATTTTCTAGTTCTGCTTCCTCATTAACAATGCTCCAAGCCAATTCTCTTAGCAAGTCATGCACTTTAATCTTCTCATAGGAGTCACCCACCACACAGATAAATAAGGATTTATCAATTAGATCTTCGAGTACATGATGGGCAGAGGAATATTTTATCAATATAGATTTGTTTATCTCGTAGAAGAAACAAGCAACATCCAAGAATAATCTCCTTTCATCAACTCCCAAGGTGTTGTAGCTTCTCTTAAGAACGTCATGAATGCCTGGGGTTGGAATCTGCCTCATATCACTCAAGAAGCTCATCCAGTAATCTTTGCCCTTGTGTGATAATGTACCACCAAAAACTTTTATGGCTAGAGGGCATCCCTGGCAATAAGATAAAGCCAGAAGTGATAGTTCCACCAAATCATCAGGTGGATGACATTTTCCAAATGCATGCATATGAAAGAGTTGAAGAGATTCAATATGACTCAAACAATCAACATGGTAGATCCTAGCCCCTATATTTCCAAGCACCATACGGTTTCTAGTTGTCAAGATAATTCTACTTCCCGGGGCAAAGAGATAGGTGGAACTCAAAAGATCTCCCAACAACAATTGCTCTAGTTGTGACAATGTTTCCACATCATCGAAAACAAGGAATACCCTCAAACGAGAAAGACGACTCCTTCTATGATCAACATCCAAATCATCGTAACATATGCTAGTCTCATACAGCAGTGTTGAATAGAGCTTTGTTACAATTCCTTCTATTCCATTTTCCTTTTCACCTCTTTGGTTGATGTCATGAACAAAGTGATGCTTGATTCCTTCCACCAAAGATATTACCCTTTGATAGCAAGCTCTAGCTAGGGTGATCTTTCCTACACCACCCATCCCCCAAAGTTCAATAATGCGAAAATCATTCATGTCCAGAGCTAATAGTTGTTCAACTTCAACAAGGCGAGCATCCATGCCAATCAAGTTATCGGACTTCACTCTTTGTGAAATCTCTGCGAGTATTTTTAGAACACCATTAACTATTGCCTCAACGAATTCAGAATCCATCCTAGTAACCCAAGAAGATAAAACAAAAGGAAAACAAAAAGAAAACCCCAATGAGAAAAACTGTAGTCGTAATGAGAGAAGCAATTATTGGTAATAAGAAGGCCGACTCTTAATTATTAACTACGATAGACTTACTTGGATTTCTGTGAAGTATATCCAGCACAATTAGCGACAACTTGCAAAGAATCCATCCATCTCTTCCCGTCCTCTTGAGATTTGCTAGCTCCATGATTCTTTTTTCTTCTTTTCGGAGGTGTAGCTCCATGTTTCTGCTCAATGGCAACGACGTAACTCCCAAAATCCTCGGATACATCTGATGGATCAACTTTGTAGAAAACCGGAAGCACCCTGTGTCCGAACCTCCGAGAAATGGTGGCCACTTCATCCAAGCACCAGCTTGAATCCGCGAAATTCTCCGAGAAAATAACAACTGAGAGTGCAGATCTTTTGAGGACGGAGATCAGCTCATCGATGCTCTCAGTTTTATCTAGCATGTCGTCTATGAAGACTTTGATTTGTCTGTCAAGGAGAGCAGCCCTGAGGTGGCTGGTAAAACCATGACGGGTGTCAACACCTCTGAAACACAAGAAGACGTCATATTCCCATTTCCCAGAGTAGGAGGAGGAATAGGGATAATGTGATGAAGGGGACGAAGAAGAAGAAGAAGCCGCCATTGATTTTCTGTTAGTATCTCAGGTTTCTGTAAGTCTAGCGAGAGTTTGGGTTTCTTTCTTAGCAACGAAGGAAAGTTCTATCGCTGGGGGAAGAAGGGACTCGTTTGCTTCCCAATGGTTTTAGCTGTTAAAGTGGTCGCAGAGGAAAGAGAAAGGAAATTGCCATTGAAGCTTTGGTATAGGAGGAAGCCATTGAAGTGGGGGGATCTTGGTCTTTGTTATTTCTAATCAGCTTGACTCAAATGGACTGTCATATTTCTTAATTGGGTCATTTTCAGTTTTGCTTTCTCACCTAATCAAATCTTTGTTGTCATCAACGCAGACAAAACAGCATCTTCCTAATTTCAATTCCCAATTGGCAATTACCTAACCTTTGTCTAAGTTATTCAGTACTAGAATATTAATCCTAGTTGCAGTCAGATTTCTCCCATGAATAAACTCTTAGTACCATATTTGAATAAACGCTGCTGTTGCTGCTTCAGTTCATTTTATAAAAAGGTAAAAATCAAGGGTTTGATCTGTATGATCCAAGTCAAGTTTACTGCAACCGATCACCAACGAACCAAGAAAAGATTGTTGTAATGATTACGTACCTGAAGATGCAGGTTTGTGAACTTTTGTAAGCTGCCTGAATGGTGCGAAGTCCTTGCTTTCGAGTTCTTTGAGGAGAATGAAATCTGCAACTGAACACCAGTTTGTTTAGTAACTTTTGCCTGAAAATTCAAATGAAGTACAAGAAACAGAAGTCTTGTAAGTCTGGGAAGTCCCAACCTTTGAGGCTATTTTTCCCTTACTTGAAACCGATTCTGGGGTACATGAGACCTGCAAGAGCTCTGGTTCACCATGTGAGATGGCAGCTCGAACAGCCTCACTGATATGAAACAGCAAATTTATTTCGTATACAATAAGTTCCATTGTTGATCCACAGAAGAACTTGTAACGAAATTGCAGTTGTTTGTCTCTAAAGGAAAAAAAAAAGAGTGGGAGTTCTGGGAAAGACCGAGTACCATTTACAATGGAGCTGGTCCCAGAACCTCGATGCAGCAATTAGCGGGCACGTCCAAAGATTGCTCGCCGTCGCGGAGAGCTGAGGAACACCAAATCCTTGGCCAGCGGCGATTGAATCGGCGGTCATTGAATTTCGCGGAAAGGCGGAATTGAACGGCAAGGCAGAGAAATTGTTGTCCGTCATCCACCGCTGAGGGGAGGCGTTGGCTTTTTTTCGCAAGCTTGAAGACCAGGCCCACTCCTGATTGGGCTTCTTAGTACTTTCCAACGTCGGGACAAATATAACCGGGCTTGGATGCTTCAAGTGGAGAAATCTGGCAAGGACATATCTCTACTCATACAGGGAGACCTCGAGTTCCGAGTATAAACTATAAAGTTAATTCATCTGATTTATTTGTACAAAATAAATTTAAACTTTAACTCATAATGATTGAGAAATCTTTCGTTAAAAATTAAATGAAAATATTAAAGGCTTTCCATAGGAGAGAGATAGGTGCTAATGTGGTGGTTGATGGTTGGGTTATGCATGATTACTGAACTATGAGTTACTGACCGGATCCGCTTCCTTCACTTAGCATCCAAACAAATAATTTCATATTTACAATAAAAATTATTATCATATTCAAACTCAAATTTTCCGGAAAAAATACTTGCATACTCTATGATGACAACGGATCGGATCGGGGTTGGATAGTGCATATCCATTACCCTACCCATACTAGTTCGGGTTTTACTCATGTCAATATGGCAATATCAACACAAGAATCGGATGAAAAATCAAAATCATGGGTATCCACGGTTCTCCATGGTAATAATTTTTCTTTACAATTCCAAATAACATTTTAACACTCACATTACTTAAGTGAAAAAGTATGACAATTCAAATAAAATTAGTTGAAAATACTGGAATTTCATGAAAATAATTATATATGTATAATAAATATCAAATACAATGAGAAAAATAATGACCATTCTAGACATATACAAATGCATGTGTATAATTTGGCGGGTTTAGATTGGATAGTGAGAAATTTATATCTACCCATTATCCGCAATATTCGAATTCGTATTTTACCCACCTGTTTAGATCTGTTTCGGGCGGATAGTCACGATTATAAATTCTGGAATTAATGAGGAAAATCTATCTATCTATCTATACTATATATATTATGGCAATTCAAAAAAATTATCTTGCCACATAAGCACTTGGAGGATCCACAATTTGCCAAGTTGGACAACTTTTTTACAAACAAAAAAATTAGTTATTAATGTATTTATGAAGTTACCTCTCTCTTCTTAAATATTTCCATTTCTTTTATCCAATTATTCTTTTCCATTTTTCCATTTATTCTTTTTGCTTTAATAACAAGTTTCATTTTGATAAACTTAACAAAACACACATAAATAATAAATTTTTTTCAAGTAAACAAAATATAAATAAGAAAACAGAGAGTGACATTTGTTCAAATAAAAATATCTGATTTAAACCTTATGAAAGTAAATTTTTTATTCATTTTTAGTAAAGTTGAATGATAAGTTATATTTTGATGAAAAATTACACAAACATACACATATACAATAATTTTTTTATCGATTAAACAAAATATATATGAAAAGAGAGAAAATAAACATTTGACATTCAATTACTTTGGAAAAATAAACTATATTACTTTATATTTTTTTGCAATGAAAACTCTCTTATTCAATAAAGTATATGTCTATAAAATAAAACAATTATTATTTAGCAAAATATTAGAGTATAATCTTGATCGAGTAGTTACATTTATTTATTTAAAAAAGACTTTTTATTCATTCAGATCATGTTCTACCTTAAACTCCTCAAATGAAGAGGAATTGCATGTGCAATAATTTTATAATGTATTCTAAGTTCACATTAATAATATTTGCTCCATATCATGTTTGATTGAGCAAGTTCTATTGAGGTGATAAGTCGTATGCTAAGAAATTTTATATTAGACTAGGAGTTATCGTCAACAATTATAAATCAAAAATTTTCAAAATGACTGAAGTATGATTGTTGACGAACTTTGACTTCATACCCTACGATGAGACGCAAGATTCCTTGAAAAATAACATATGTGAAGGTTAGAGAAATCTTTATCGAGAATCTACGATAAACATCACGTTTCATCAATTTATAACCTATGAATTTACCAAATAAAGGTTGGCAATTTTTAGTAAGACAGTCAATTGAGATAAACATATTTATCCAACAATCAAGTATTATTATCCAATCATATCAACTCTCTAGATTAGTTGCCAATTCGTCCAAACTCGAGAAACGTGAATTGATATATGTTGTATAAGATAATAAGTTAATGCAAATAATCAAATGAAATCCACCGATACTGTTCAAATGATAAGACATTTTAAATGCACTTGAAATATGTGTGTATTGCAGACACGCTTTATCAATTATTAATATATAAGTGATAAAATCTTTGAAAATTACACATTCAACGACCATGTTAAGACCAAAATCCTCGATAGTGTGTGTGAGTGTCTTAGATTGAGATTCTAAGCGAACATATAAACAATGACCGCGGGTTGAGGTTTAGTCTAAACTTCAAGAATTAACAATTGATACATATTGTATAATATACTAAATTTAAGTGTCTTGATAAAAAAACTAACATCGAAAATGGAAATTAGTCGTGATTAGAGAATTTAATCATCATGAGGGCTATAGTGTGTGTCAAGTTTCAATATGAGTGAATAAATTGATCCAATAATGAAGTATCTTTACAACATTGGTCGAGACTCGAGAGTTTCCATTTCTTTTATCCAATTATTCTTTTCCATTTTTCCATTTATTCTTTTTGCTTTAATAACAAGTTACATGTTGATAAACTTAACAATACACACATAAATAATAATAAAAAAATCAAGTAAACAAAATATAAATAAGAAAACGGAGAGTGATATTTGTTCAAATAAAAATATCTGATTTAAACCTTATGAAGTAAATTTTCTACTCATTTTTAGTAAAGTAGAATGATAAATTATATTTTGATGAAAAAATTACACAAACATACACATATACAATAATTTTTTTATCGATTAAACAAAATATATATGAAAAGAGAGAAAATAAACGTTTGACATTAAATTACTTTTGAAAAATAAACTATTTTACTTTATATTTTGTTGCAGTGAAACACTCTCTTATTCGTAAAGTATATGTCTATAAAATAAAACAATTATTATTTAGCAAAATGTTAGAGTATAATCTTGATCGATGATAAAGAGGAGTTGCATGTGCAATGATTTTATAATGTGTCCTAAGTTCACATTAATAATATTTGCTCTATATCATGTTTGATTGAGCAAGTTCTATTGAGGTCCTAAGTCGTATGCTAAGAAATTTTATATTAGACTTGGAGTTATCGTCAACAATTATAAATCAAAATTTTCAAAATGACTTAAGTTTAACTTAAGTTTATCATTTCTTTTTGTAGATCATTTACGATCCATACCCGGCCAACATCGTTACATGGCATTGCCAGCAATTCCCGGGTCATATCTCTTAGAAACCTAATTCGAGGGTTCTAATGGTCGGATTGATGAGATTGGGAATTGATAGATATTTAGGGATTGAGATAGAATTGGGGAAGAACAGAATTGGGGATTATGGATTTAGAAGAGGAAATTGGGGGTCGAGGAGAAGAATGACCGACGGCCTAGGGATAGGTGACGAATTTGAGAGAGATTAGGGTTTGAGATACTTTTCTGAATAATTGTTCTTGCTTGATTCTCAATAAAACGCAAAGTACATATTTATAACGAAAGATAAGAAAACCTAATACTAAACCTAATTCTACTAAAAGACTACTAACCATATTTAATAAAACCTAATAATAATGATAATATAGAAACTCGTTTTCCTTAGAAAACGTGTTTCTAACATCCTATCCCCCTTGAGACCAACCTTGCCCTCAAGGTTAATCAGTTTGACCCATTTCTTCAAGCCT